ATCAAAACATTGCGCATAGCGAGATATTTAGGACAGCGAAAGAGAATATGGGTGATAGAATCAGGTTCCCCAAGATTACAGTTACAGAGTCTATCCTTGTATGGCACACCCCTGTATCTACCGGAAACCACTACTGAGGGGAAAAGGTTGAACCTTGCAAGCATAAAAACCCTCCTACAAACTGGAGTTGTCAAATTAGCAATATATGGTACCATGGAGGTATGCAAGGGGAGGAGGGGTAATGAGTAGGGAGAACAAACTCCAAGACTACCGGCATTAATGATCTGTGCCTCTATATCCCAAATTCTCCTCCTTACCACCTGCAAGATTGCTACCTCACCACAGTTATAGAGGGGTTCCAGATCAATACCTAGGGTACCCACCTTTTTCACTATGGCCTGTGACCACTCTGATGTATAAGGGTCAGCTAAAAGTTGGACCATTAGGCTAGCAGGAGGAGATCGAAAATGGAGCCGAAGCCAATATTTGATCGTAATGATCCAAGCCCGAGATTCTATCAAGTGGAGACCCAGCTCCTTATAAAGGGCAAAAAGCGACCCTGAGTTGGAAACACCAAGAATCCTGCGCAGAAAAGTGGAGTAGATGCTCTCAACTCTCCTAGTAAAAGACTGGATCCAGATAGGAATCCCGTATAGCAGACGAGATATAACAGCCGCTTGGAACATCTTAAGCACAGCCGGGACAAATTGGTTGCCCTTGTGGAAAAAAAACCGAATCAGGGCTGCAGCCTTATTCTTAGCCATAACCAAGGAGTGTTCTCTATGGAAACACCAGCTAAGATTGTAACAAAATAGTCATGCTGGGAAGAGAATAGTGTGGCCTTGCACCTGCAAGATAAGATATTCTTCTCCAGCTTAGTTCTTCAATTAACATTCCATTCAATTAGCCCTGGTGGGAGACAGGAGTGGAGTGAGCTGCAGATCACACCACTGCCCTTCTGACATGGACAGAGAACCAATGAAGTCACCCTGTTATTGATTGGCCCACCTGTGACTGTAGGATATTGACTGAACCCTGATTGGTGTAAAGGCCTAGCAACAGTCTAGGAGTCAGACAATAAATCCTCCATATTGAAACCCATTCTGGGGCTTGATGGTGCCTGCATGTCGCGCGGACACAGGGGCCATTTCCCGCAGGAGCGCACAGGAGCAGAGCTCCGGCAGTAAAGAGCCCAGGGGGCGGGCACATGCAACAAGCCCCGCCCCCTGCTCCCAGCAGCCCTCAGTCAGAGCAAGAAGCAGCCAGGTAAGTTGCAGAGCCCCCCCGGTCCAAAACAGTCCAGTGGCACCTTTAAGACCAAGTTTTATTCAGGTACAAGCTCTCCCTCCTCTGCGAGGACAGATCTGCACGTTCCCCCCCCCCAAAAAGCTAGCAATCCAAAACAGTCCAGTGGTGCCTTCTGACACCCTTCCAGTTATGTCAGGGGGTGTGGCATATGCAAATAAGTTATGTTAATGAGTTATGCTAATGAGCTCCCGCACCTCTTTTTCTACGAAATGACCCCTGCGCGGACATATTGGTGTTGTCTTGCTCACTTTGGCCGTCTTGAGACTTTGCTGCTGGATCCAACCAGCCTGGCTTTTGGGACTCTGGAGAAGAGTTGCTTTGGACCCAAAACTCTGAATGGGTAACATCTTGTTGTTTGGAAAACCAAGGTTTTAAAGTGTCTAGTTAGCTTCTTAATCTCTAGTTTTTTTTTCTTCCTCACAGTATTTTAAGTAACTCTCTGCACCTTAATTAAATTATAATTTAAATACTACAGTGTGGTTCTTTTTCTCTCTAGCTGCAATAAGAAATGTAATGGCTAGATTGGCGGTCCACTAACGCAACAGTAGCTTTGGTGGGTTTCCTACTGTGAGCCAGCCTTGCAAGGGAGGACTCCCTCAGTGATCCCCGGAAGGTCAGGAGTTAGTCCTTTGGCCCCTGGCTGGAGGGACATAGAAGGACTGGTGGCAGAC